GGAATAGATTGTATACGCAGGCATGGGTTCCTGGAGACAAAAACACAGCGTACCGAGCTGCCTTTAAATTGCTGGAACCTCGCGGAGTTGAGAAGACCCAGAAAACTTTGTCTGGGGGGGGGGCAGGATCACAGGAGCTACACAGACACTGCCCAGGCAGTGCAAGAAACGGGAACGCAGATTAAAAGGCGCTGCTCCAGCCAAACAAAGCAGCTATTTACAGAGAGTTAGCAAACCGCACAGAAGACTCCACTTACGGGTCGCTCGCGCTCAGACAACGCCACACAAGCTCCTTGCACCCCAGTTTCATTCTAACGGCCAGGGGGTTCTGGGGCCAGTGCGGAGTTGCGGCACACAAAACCCCTTGCGTCAGCCTTCCACCCCGGCTCCTGATGCGACAGAGAGACGTCACAGCCAGGGTGGAAAAGATGTTTACAGCAGGGGTGTCGAACTCTTTTGTTATGAGGGCCGGATCTGACATGAATGAGACCTTGTTGGGCCGGGCCAGGTGTGTCATAAAAGGTAATGCCCGGTAGCGGAGATATAAGAAGAAGAGAAAAAGAGAAGAAGAGATTGGATTTATCCCCCGCCCTTCACTATCCAAAGGTGTCTCAGAGCGGCTTACAAACTCCTTTCCCTTCCCCTCCCCACAACAGACACCCTGTGAGGTAGGTGGGGCTGAGAGAGTTCTTGACAGAAACTGCTCTTTTTCAAGGACAGCTCTTATCAGAGCTACGGCTTGCCCAAGGTCATCCAGCCAGGTGCAAGTGGAGGAGTGGGGAATCAAACCCGGTTCTCCCAGATTAGAGTCCGCGCGCTTAACCACTACACCAAACTGGCTCTGCTGGACCAGAACAGGGATCCGTCCATTCCAGCATTTTGTCTCACACAGGGCATGGAGACCGAGCCCTTCCCTTGATAAGAACATCAGAAGAGCCCTGCTGGATCAGAGCCGTGGTCCATCCAGTTCAACATCCTGTATCACACAGGGGCCAGCCAGTTCCTCTAGACGGCCAAAAGCAGGGCATAGAGACCGAGGCCTTCCCCTGATAAGAGCATAAGAAGAGCCCCGCTGGATCAGACCAGCGAGGGTCCATCTAGTCTGGCATCCTGTCGCACACAGTGTCCAGCCAGCTCCTCTGGATGACCAACAACAGGGCATAGAGACCGAGGACTTCCCCTGATGTTGCCTCTTGGCACTGCGATTCAGAGGCTGACTGAACGTGGAGGTTCCCTTTAGTCACTATTGCTAGTAGACACTGATAGACCTAAGAACATAAGAACATAAGAGAAGCCAATGTTGGATCAGGCCAATGGCCCATCCAGTCCAACACTCTGTCACACAGTGGCCAAAAATACCAGGTGCCATCAGAAGGTCCAGCAGTGGGGCCAGGACACTGGAAGCCCTTCCACAGTTGCGCCCCCCCCCCCAAGAACCAAGAAGACAGAGCATCACTTGTCCCAGACCAAGAGTTCCTATCTATACCTTGTGGCTAACAGCTGCTGATGGACCTCTGCTCCATATGCTTATCTAATTCCCTCTTGAAGCCTTGTAGCTGCCATCACCTGTGGCAGTGAATTCCACATGTTAATCACTCAATGGGTGAAGAAGTATCTCCTTTTATCTCTTCTAACCAGATTTCTTCTCCATGATTCCTCTTTTAAAGCTGTCTATCCCTCCGGTAGTGAATTCCGCATTCTAGTCATTCACTGTTGAATAAGAATAACTGTCTGTAGAGCTGCACTGCACCGGTATGCCTTCAGCAGCATCTAAGTTTTACCCAACAGGGACAGTGAAAAGGGTTCATTTTCTTAGATCATTTGATTTACTTATTTTTTTCTGCCACTGTGTCTGTTAAAATATTTTAAATTCAGTGCCTCCATCTGCTGCTGGACAAAACTGTCGTTTAAAGAATATTTCCTGCAAGCTGTTGTGTGGTGGAGGTGTTCATAACTTTTTTTTATAGATTGTGGCTCTTTTTTTTACTGTTTTATTAAAGGCACCCTTCTTGAGAGCCAGTCTCTTACAGGCAGTACAGAAAACTGTTTCAAGAAAAGTGGTAGACGTTTCTTGGACTGTATGACTGCAGGACGGCACTTCTAGAGCCAGGAGCACATTTTTGCCGCCAAGGTAAAACTGAAGATAATAAGAAATAAAAAAAAAAATAACAAAAAGGGGGGGGGGGGGGGATATCAAAGAGTGCCGATAGGATCAAAGATTTGGAAAGTGATTTTAATGACCGAGCCAACATAGAACCCAAAATGTGCCACATTTCAGAGTGAATAAATTCTATACAAGCTGGTCTACTCTACTTTTAATTATTATTTACACTAGGAAAAAGGCCCATTGTGGAAATAAATACAACGGCCTCTAGAAAGAGGCTCTGGGCGGGTACCCCGGCCTTGGACACTCAGTGTCAATTTGCTGTCGCGACCTCAGCAGGGTTTAATGACACTGAGTCCACCATTTTCTCCAGAGGAACTGATCTCTGCTACCTAAAGAACAGTTGTAATTTTGAG